GCTCTGGCCCACCCCCGACCCCCATAGAGTGGGGGCGCGCATCAAGAAGCCATGTTTTTTTTCGTCGGGGTGCCCTGGGTTTCTTCGCTCCGCGCGATGCGCGGTGACTTCCCGACTTCCCGTGGCCGTTGAAGGAGCTGCTGCGTTTGGGGTGCTCCGGGTTTCCCCTCAGTTGCACCTCGCGCGCGGGTTTTCAGGGTTTTTCCTTTCAGGGAGGAAAAGCCACCCCGACCCCCATACCCAGACCTCCTCGCGTTGTTCTAGGCCTCCCAGAACGGGTCGGAGTAGATTGGGTCGGAGGATAGCCCCGCATCGCCGGTGCATCGGCGATGCGGCTCGGTGTGGAGCCCGATTTGCTTCACGCGGACGTCGCCGATGCATCGTCGACGTCTGATGCATCGCCGATGCATCGCCGACGCATCGCCGATGCATCGCCGACGCATCGCCGATGCATCGCCGATGCATCGCCGATGTATCGCCGATGCGGCGCGATCCTCCGACCCCATCTACTCGGACCCCATCTAGGAGGCTTCTAGCTGTGAAACAATCACGACGGGAGGTTTCTCGCCATTTTCGACCTCCTGGTGCCATGACTGGGCCTCGGGGCCGTCAAAAAAATCGACTTGGGTCGAAAAGCCAGTCCCGGGGAAGGAGTCCAGACTTTTGGGGGTCGACGTTGTGAAAAAAACACGACGCTGGGGGTCTGGGGACGGCGCTGGGCGTCTGTTAAACAGCCTTGTCTTGTTCGATTCCATCTTTAGGCGCGTTGACTGCGCGGCTGCGAATGTCGAGGTGCTTCTTATGAGGGTGGTGCTTCTCAGCTCTCGAGAGGAGCTCATGGCACTGGAGGGCTTCACCCCGAGCTCGCCGGACGAGAACGGCTACACGCCTGTGCACGCTGCAGCGTCCTGGGGGCACCCCGAGTTGCTGCGACTGCTGCTGTCGCGAGGCAGCGAAGCGGCCAACGTTCGCGACGAAGACGGGGACACGCCTCTCCATCACGTCGCAGGGAACAACGACCTGGCAGCCGAGTCGCAGCGCGCTGTGATTGATCTGCTGCTGGAGCACAGGGCCGACCCCACGCTGCAGAACTCGGAGGGGAAGACCTGCCTGGACGCCTGCGGCCAGGACGTGGTCGCCATGGACGACGAGGAGGCCACCGAGCCTCCCAACGAGGAGGTCTGCATAAACGTTGACTTCATCAAGATAATGGCGGAGCGCGGGTACGAGCACCAGTGACGTGGACGTTTCGCAGGGGGCGCCTCGCTGGGTCGCGTGATGGCGGCGCGCGGGCTCCACTTGGCGGTGAGCCCGGGGGGAAGTGAGAGGGGGCAGGCCTTCTCGGAAGGAAGCGGGGCTTCTCGGAAGCCCTCGCGGCGCCTCCGGGGAAGCCGCCTGTGGCCTCGGAGATGGTTCACGAGGCTTCTCGGGAGGCGCCGCGGGGGCTTCTGAGAGGCCCCCGCCGCCCTCTGAGAAGGCCTGCCCCCTCTCAGGATATAAACCCGAAGCGCCGCCCTGCTGCGGGCGCCAGCCAAACGTCATGAGACAGGTCTGCCGCGGCATCCTTCTTCTTCTTCTTCGTCTTCACCTTCTTCCTCTTCTTCTTCTTCTTATTCTTCTTCTTCCTCTTATAATTAATATATTATTTTCTTCTTCTTATCATTAGTCGTCTTCTTATGCTTATCATTGCTAGTATCATAATCACTTCCACTTCCCCCCTGGGCTCGCCGCCAAGCCCGCTCCTCCGTGGGGCTCTGCGGCGCGGCGGCCCCACGGCAGCGCGCTGCCGAGGGGTGGTAAGCGCCCGCGCCACGCGCCGCGCCTGCGAGGCCAGACAAAGGGCGGCCCCTCCGGCCCTCCGCCGCCTCCGCGCCGGGGGTGCCCCATCGTGGGCGGGCCTCGCCCTCGAGGCGCCGAGAGGCTTTGGAGCGCCCGCTCCCAGGCGGACAGCCCGCCTCCTCCTCCTCCTCCTCCTCCTCCTCCTCCTCCTCCTCCTCCCCGTCCTCCTCCCCCTCCCTCCTTCCTCCTCTTCCTCCCCCTCCCTCCCTCCTCCTCCTCCTCCTCCTCCTCCTCCTCCTCCTCCTCCTCCTCCTTCCTCCTCCTCCTCCTCCTCCTCCTCCTCCTCCCTCCTCCTCCTCCTCCTCCTCCTCCTCCTCCTCCTCCTCCTCCTCCTCCTCCTCCTCCTCCTCCTCCTCCTCCCCCTCCCTCCCTCCCTCCTCCCTCCTCCCTCCCTCCCTCCCTCCCTCCCTCCCTCCCTCCCCCCCTCCCTCCCTCCCTCCCTCCCTCCCTCCCTCCCTCCCTCCCCCCTCCTCCTTCCACGACGTGAAGTCTCAATCCCGGCTCTTGGGCCTGTCGCTGCGCCGTTCGTGCCGGCGCGCGGCCCCGCACACCGTGGGCCGGGGCTGCAGAGACGGGGGTCGATGCGAGCGGGGGTGCGTCGGAGCGCCGGGTCGATGCAGGCTCCCGCAGGGCCGGGTGTGCACTGGCAGGCCAGCCACAATTGGGGGAGCTGTGGTCCTTACCCCCCTGGGGGACCCATCGATTTCGACACCCCTCTCGAGAGATCGTCGATGCGATGGGTTGCCCCAGGGGGGTAAGGACCACAGCTCCCCCAGTTATGGCTGGTCGGATTAGCCCGGGCTCGGGCGCAGGATCTTGCAGGATCCTGCAGGATCCTGCAAGGACTGGCTGTCCCAGATTCGCAGTCGACCTGGGTCGGAAGGACTTCGACTGGAGAGGGCGCAGCCACCAGGGGAAACTCCACCTCGGACTCGGTGGGTTCGCCCTGGAGTCTGCCCTGGGGTTTGCTGCGGTGCCGGCTTCGTCTGCGTGGGCGCGGGACGCAAGGTTTGCCGTGGGTTTGCCGTGGTGTCCGCGGCGTCCAGATGGGCGCGTCGAAAGCCGAAACACGGAGCGGACACAGGACTAGACATGGATCCGGGGCGAAAAACGATCTTTGGGGAAGGGTTCGGCAGCTCGGGGGCCGCGGATTGAACAAAAACATGTCGGAGGATGCTTGGGGAGCTGGTGGAAGGGCGGCGGAAGCCGGCGACAGCAAAACGAGGGGAGCGGAGGGCGGGCGGAAGGCCAGCAGGAAGGCAGGTAGACAGAGATAGAGAGAGAGAGAGAGAGAGAAAGAGAGAGAGAGAGAGAGAAACAAACAACAACAAGAAAAAAACGAGAGGGAGAGGAGGCGGAGCAGGAAGTCGGAAGGGGGGAACCTGGATGGGGCGGATGGGGAGGGAGGAGGTCCGTGGAGGGGCGAGGAGGTGGAAGCGCGGGGGGACATACAGGTGGCGGAGGCATGGCGGGGGAGGGGGGGGAGGGCGGAGCAGTCGGGCGCAGGAGACGGGGGCCCGCACGCAGGGCAGCGCTGCTCGCGGGGGGGCCAGTCCCTCGAGGCGGCGCCGCCGCGAGGTCGTCCAGGGCGGGCGCGGGGACGGCGAGCACGCTGCCCTGCGGGGCTCTCGCTGCGATGAACAGCCCTGGAAGCGAATGGCCCGGCCAGGTGCAGCAAAAGCACGCCGGCAATGGACCGGCAGGCGCTGGCGATGGCAGCGCTGGGGCGAGGGGCGTTGCCCAGTGTCGTGCGTGCCGAGTCTGTCCACGCGCTCTTCGGCGCATGCTTTGCGAGGCCATGATGTAATGCGATGCTGCCAGAGAGCAGTCGGCCGTGATCGTGTCAAACTCGATCCCTGGAGCCCTCTCTGGGGACCCCTGCCTGGTCGGGGCTCACGTCACACGGGGGCCAGCGCCGATGGGCGCAAGCCTATCCCCACTTGGCCGACCCCGGGATTTAGGAGCCACGTGGGGCCGACTCCCCCTTCCGTCTGGACGCCCGAAATGGGTACGGGAAGAACTGGTACGATGCCCAACAGCAGTTCCTGCTCATTTTGAACAGGACTCGCTGTCCGCGCCGCCGCGGCCTGTGTCCATTTGAGACAGGAGGCCGCCCGCCCAACAGCGGCCGCTGTTGGTTCGGGACAACATTTGCTGTTGGGCATTGTACCCTTTCTTTCCGTACCCATTTCGGGCGCCCAGATTCCGCACTCCGTTGGCCCGGGATGGGGAGCTACGAAGCTTTAGTCGGGCGTGCCCCTCTACAGCAGGAAAGTTCAAGAATAGTTGGAAAAGTAGGCGCTCTTTTGAATCTGCTTGAATATGTTTGACAATGTTCATATTTTTCTTCCCAAATTCGCTTGTAGGAAGGAGGACATGCCCGACCTAATACTGAGCGGCCGGCCCGGTTTCGCAGCAGGGCCCCGACCGAACCCAGGTGTGCGCTGACCTGGGCGTCCCCGACTCTGGGGCACCTGTCGAGGGTGCCCCGGGGCCTCTCGAGGGGGCCGCTTGAGGGCCTCTGGGGAATTCTTTGGGGGGACATGCCGGCAGTCTCGGAGACCCTCACAGGAGACCTTTTGGGCCGTTTTTTGAAGGGTTCTTGGGCCGTCTTGGGGCCCTCGTGGACTGTCTGGAGTCGCTCCTGGGGGAGTCTCGGGCCGTCTGGGAGCACTTTCGGAAGCATCTTGGGCCGTCTTGGGCTGTCGGAGGCCAAGACAGGCGAGAAAACGAACATTATGTGCTGTTTTATGGCGCACCTATGTATATACACACATACACACAAATGTGTATGTGTGTACCTGTGTACCTGTGTACCTGTGTATGTGTGTATGTGTATGTGTGTATGTGCGTATGCATGTTTGTATGTGTGTATATGTATGTGTATGTGTGTGCCTGTGTGTATGTGTCAGTGTGTGTCTGTTTGTGTGTGTGTGTGTCTGTGTGTGTCTGTGCGTCTGTGTGTCTGTGTGTCTGTGTGTCTGTGTGTGTTGCATATTTGGGCCGTCTTGAGGCCATCTTGGGCCGTCTTAGAGCCCTCCTGGGCTGGCCCGTGGGCTTCCTTGGGGCGCTCTTGGGGCTGCAGCGTCTCACGGTGCTGGGGATTATTGCACGCCTTGGGCCCGCTGGGCTGGCGACTTCGGTGGTTGGGTGCGGAAGCATTGCGACGTAATAACATGATGTGGCTTTGGCGGAAGCAGGAGTTCCAGTAGACACACACACGATCAGAAATCTGGCCGATGCTTGAGGGTCTTACAGTGCCCCTAAGCATTCTTCGGGTCCCTGGGGCCATCGCGGATTGAGCGTGTTCCATGGGGCATCTGCTCGCATGGCGACTCATTGTTTTTTGCGCCTATTGGTGATGGTCCAAAGCCAACCGTAGCGACAGCAAACGATTGCTGGGCATTGCGGCTCCGGTCGATCATACCTGCGAGGGCGCCGCTCCGTTCTGCCAAGCAGACGCGCCGCAGCCATGTCGCACCTCTCCAGCCTCTTCGACCAGGCGGGCGTCTTCTTTGTTCTGCAGGTCATGGGAGGTTTTTCTCAGCAGGCGCATACGATGATAACTTGTGCCATGAGAAAGGTAGGGGCACGCTCTTCGTTGGCCCCTGGCCCCTGGACTTCTTAAGGTGTCCCGGGGCTTCTGTGAGTGCCCAGGGGGGCCATTGTAGGATGAGAAATTTCCGTGTGGCACGTGTTGGCAGGCTTGTTTATTATTTGGTGCACCTATTGCATGTTCAGCATCTGTTGCGCTTGGAGATGATGCGCTGCGTGTCAATTCTTCCCATTTGACCAAATCTTGCTTCTCTGCACCAGCAGGCCTCGTGCATGCCAGATTTATGATTTTATGTTGCTGGTGAACAGCATAAACATTGGCTTGAGGTCAGTATCAGAGTTGTGTTCAGATATGCGAGCGCCTCTGCGAATCGGTGTCTGCGGCGCACGCGCGGAGCGTGTGGTTGCGAATGCACCGTAGATCCCAACAACAGCAGATGTTTGCGGGACCAAAGCACAACGTAGGCGGGGAGAGGGGACATGATGCCATTCGGGTGCGTTGGCGAGAAGCCTGCACGGTCCGTCAACGCATAAGGTACAAGTCATGTTTCCACCCCACCCTCTCTCTCATACACCCCGATCAGTCTATCGTTTCAGCTGCTGTCTCCCGTCTTGTCTCCCATTCGATTTCTCTTCTTACCTTGCCTGACCTCCCCCTGCGTCTTCCCTCTTACCTCTTCCCCCCTCTCCTCATCCTCCTCTCCATACCCTCCCCTCTCGCCTGCGTGGCCTCTTGATGGGGCACAGCTTCTCCTTCGGCCGCGTTGCGGCGAGGCGGATTGCCAAGGCTCCATAGCCATAGCCATAGCCCCTCTCGCCCGCTCTCGCAGCTAACTTCGGCCTGGTCGGCTCCTGGCTGCCCGCCGGTACACGATGGTCGTTGAAAGTATGTATCTAATCGTCGGCCCATCCCGCCACCGTGCCTGGGTTGTGGGTATGAAGCCTGTTGGATGTTCGTTGGGATCTCGTGGGAGGCCTCTCGGGGGCCTCTTGGAGGCAATTCGGATGCCTCGTTGGGGCCGTTTGGGGGCCGCTTGAGGCCTCTTTTGGGCCTCCTGGGGACCCCTGTGTGCCTCTTGAAGGCCTCTTGGGGGCCTCTTGGGGCGTCTTGGGCGCCTCTTGGGCCGCCTTGGGGCGCTCTTAGGCCGTCTTGGGGTACATCTGAGGCCTGTTGGGCTTTTCGGGGCTGATCTTGGGAGCCTCATGGAGCGTCGGAAAGCCGAAAAGGCGAGAACGCCAAAGTCTGTCAAACACCTTAGGGAAATCAGTGACTTGGGCCTCTTGGGGCCCTCTTGGGAGGCATCTTTGAGGCCTCTTAGGGGCGTCTTGGAGGCCTCTGAAGGGCCATCTTGGAACATCATGTCAGCGACTCGGGGCACTCTGGGACCGTCTTGGGGGCCTCGTGGGGCCCTCTTGGCCCGTCTTGGGACCATCTCTGGCCAGACAAAATCGCGCGACGAGATGCGCCGGAGCCCAGGGGGGCACGCAGGGGGCCCCGCCGAATTTCGGAACGTGGGGCCTGGGCCTTTCGGGGGTGGACAGAACCCCCCACAGTGACACGTCGATTAGTGAATCGTCCGTTTTCGGTTCTCGAGAGGGCGCCGCGGCCGTTATTTTCCAGGCTTGCGCCCGCCAGGTTTGGGCCCGAGGTCGTTTTCACTAAACCACGTTTTACTAAAGGGAGGTCTGTCCATCCCCGAGCCTTGGAAGGACGCGCCTGGCCTCCGTGTCCGCTTCTCCCTGTCCCCGCCGCCGTCGGCAAGCGTCCTGTCTGGACAGCCGCCACGGGAGCGTGGCTGGTCACCCGTCCGCGCCACCCGAGGCCCATGGGAACTTCGAAGCACCCCAGAGGAGGAGGAGGAGGGGGGAGGAGGAGGAGGAGGAGGAGGAGGAGGAGGAGGAGGAGGAGGAGCCCCCCCCGAAAAAAAAGAGGATTGAGAACTGAGGCTCCAGGAATTAGGTAAAGGACCCGAGGACGCACCCTCTCCGTGCCCGGAGGCGCCGTGGCGGATTTTTGGATACGGTGGAGGCGGTGGTTAAGGAACAGTCCCAGGAGGCGCGAGACCGTGGAGGATTCGGTGATATCCGTGGCCGATCCACGATTGGAGTTCCACTGGCTTCCAGACCCTGGATTCCTTATCTAAGGGCTCCATATCCAATGCCCACACCGTGTCCAGATCCCAGTAATCCCAGTCTGCTTCAAGCGCCGTCCTACTTCCAGAGTCGATACGTTGTTGTTGCTGCTGCTGTTGTTGTTGAGCTCTCATTACTGAAGAATGACGATTGTTGATCCCCCCTCCGGTGACCATTGTGTTTTTTTCCATTGAGGTGCTTCCCCCCGGGCTCGCACCCTGTTTGTTTATCCGGGGAAGTCACTCGGTTCAAACTGCGCCCCTGGCCCCTGGATTACAACAACAACAACCACAACCACAACAACAACAACAACAACAACAACAACAACAACAACAACGGTTCCCGCCTGAGACTTCCTCAGTTCAGCTAGGACCCCGCTACCACCTGAGACTTCTTCGCGTTTTACTCAGGAATCGCACTTTCGCTTGGGACTTCCCTACAATTCATTCAGGAATCGCTTTTGTCGGCACTCTGGAGTCGTGCTCTCGCTGGAAACTTGCTTTCAATTTACTAAAGAATCGCGCTCTTGCGTTGGAATTTCCCGCAATTCACTCGCGCGCGCGCGCGCTCCCGACACTCAGGCACCCAGGAGTCGCGCTCACGCTTAGGACCCCCACACAGCTTACTTAGGAATCGGGTTCTCGCTGCCCTGCGTGACCCCGTTGCAGCCCTTCGTGGCCCCCTCGCTGCCCTTCGTGGACCCGCTGCAGCCCTTCGTGGCCCCCTCGCTGCTCTTCGTGGCCCCCTCGCTGCCCTTCGTGGCCCCGTTGCACCCCTTCGTGGCCCCCTCGCTGCCACTCGTGGCCCCGTTGCACCCCTCTGTTGCCCCCATTCCCCTGTTGCCCCCACTGTCTGCCCTTCGTGGCCCCGTAAACTATCTGCCCTTCGTGACCCCCGCTCGTTCGCGCCCGTCGTGGCCTCCTATGCATGCGTTTCGTGGCCCCGCTGTCGACCTTCGTGGTTCCCTCGCTGCCCTTCGTGGCCCCGCTGCTACCCTCAGAGGCCCCGTCCTTGCCTTCTGCGGCCCAATAATTATACGTATGCCGTTTGTGGCCCCCGCTCATTCGCGCCCATCGTTGCGCCATATGCACGCCCTTCGTGGCTTCGATGTCGCCCTTGGTGGCCCCATCGCTGTCCTACGTGGCCCTGTTGCTACCCTCAGTGGCCCCGTCGTTGCCCTCTGTGGCCCCGCATTTTCTGCCCGTCGTGGCCCCCGCTCGTTCGCGCCCTTCGTGGCCCCATACGCTGCCCTTCATGGCCCCGTTGTCGCCCTTCGTGTCGTCGTCGGCGTCGTCGTCGGCGTCGTCGTCGTCGTGGTGGGTCCCCCGTCCGTCCCTCTTGGGGTCGGGCTGCCGCCGATCAGCGCTGCCGTTGGCCAGGCCGACGGTCCGCGGCCGCCCCGCCGCTTGCCGGGGCCCGGCCTGGAGGGAAGAATGATCTACCCCCCAAAAGGGGTACGATCGAAGACGAAGAAGGCGGGCATCGAGGTCTTGGGAAGTACACGTTTAATGACACTCGAGCAGATACGAGCGAACAGTCTTAAAATGACTGCTGCTGGTGTTGTTGTTGCTGCTGTTGTTGTTGTCGTTGATGGTGTTGTTGGTGTTGTTGTTAGTGTTGCTGATATTGTTGTTGTTGCTGCTGTTGTTATTGTTGTTGTTGCTGTTGTTGTTGGTGGTGCTGTTGTTGTTGCTGCTGCAGTTGATGGCCTTGTTGTTGTTGTCGTTGTTGTTGTTGTTGTTGTTGCTGTTGTTGTTGTTGTTGTTGTTGTTGTTGTTGTTGTTGTTGTTGTTGTTGTTGTTGTTGTGGTTGTTGTTGTCGTTGTTGTTGTTGCTGTTGTTGTTGCTGCTGCTGCTGTTACTGTTGCTGTTACTGTTGCTGCTGCTTGCTGCTCTCTTTGGGCTGGGCCCGAGCCCCCTCGGCCTGGCCCCCCTCGGCCCTCCTGCTTCGGCCTGCTCCCTCCGACGGGGCGGCGCCATGCGCAGACGGGACCTGCGGCCGTGCACCCGGGGCCGCCTCCCCGCCGCCGTTCCCTCCCCCCCGCGCCTGCGGGGCCGCTGCCCCGTGAGCCCCGTCGGCCCCTCTGCGTGGCCAGCACCGCCTTCTCAGAGGAGGAGCAGGCACCCACAGCCTCTGCCCCTTCCTCGTGTCCCCCTCCTTACGGCCTCCTCGGAGGCCCTCGTCGCCACCGCTGGATCCGCCTCGACAGCCTGGTCAGAGCGCACCCCGGCAGAGGTCTGGGGAGCAGCGGCATGGTAGCTTTTGGTGTCCCCACCTTCGTGCGAGAAGCCAGCGGAGCTCCGGCCGCGCCGCCGCGCCTCCCGCGAGCCCCCGACTGCATTCCTCCCGTGTGCCGCTGGCTTCTCTCCCCCCTCCGCCGCCGAGCGCTCCGTCGGCGCTCCCCGAAGCACCAAGACGGTCAACCCGCAGAGCGAAGAAGGAGCGACTCTCCAAGGTTTGCCGCTTGAAACTC